TCGGCTAATAATGATCGCCTTACCCGTACGCTAGAAATCACTGGGTTAGTGTTGTTACTTTTAATATTAGATTGAATTAACCTATTATCAAACTTGAATATTTTAACCCTTTCACCGTTGAATTAATTTTTTCCTGGGATAACATTTTAGTTTTCATTTATTTTTTTCGTATTGCATATATTGTTATACTTTAAGTATTAATAATGAATATATAGATATTTTTATTTTTTAGTAGATTATTTATAATTTTTTTTTCTTTAGATTTGTCTAATCGTTTATAATCATTTTTAAATTGTAATTATTTAGACGATCATAAGTCATAACTTATATAATAATTAAAATATCATCAAGTAACCAACGTAACGACGTATGTAATTTTCTTAACTTAATATTTTTAATCTAACATTAAAAGTAACAACTTCGTTTTGGTTCTGTTATTCGTACATTGGTATGCTACGTGTGGATCAAAGATGGAAAGCAAATAATGCGCTGACCACAGATATACAGGGCAGTATTCAGAGTCGGACTGGGTACTAAGTGCCCCACCGGCAGTTTACTTATAGAGAGGGCCTCAACAGTCAACAATAGTGATAAATAATAACTCTCTTGTAAATTTGATAAATTTTTTTCACAAAAAATGATCATAAATAAACTTTATAATTTACAATTATTACTCAAAACACCATATTTATCTTTATTTACTGTTTTCTTCAGTTAAATTTATTTACAATTTATTTTATAGTATATTTTAGAGATCGATTATAATAAATTATCAAAATTTTTGGTAACTACCTATTTTGATAATTGTTAAAAATGTTATTTATTAATTTAAGACAAGGAGGAAAATGTAGAAGGCTTTATAGAATAGTATGTACCTATAGAATCAAACACATTGTGTTAATTGTTAAGACACAATATAAACAATTAATATTGAAATAACAATATCATTTTTAATACAATTTTTATATTTTTATAAATCAAGGAAATATACCTATCATTGTGTACCTACTGATTGAAGTATTCCTCAAAGCAATAAGAATAGGTTTTCAGTTCTAAAAATAAATACCTCTAAAATTCCAATATTGATCAATCATATATATTATTATTTTTAATTGGCATCGATGAGACGATAACAGAAACGTTGACTGTTGAGACGTCACAAACATGTTTTGTCCGTCTAAACTACACTGTTTTTTTATGTTTGATTATTATTAAACAAATATAATATATTATATAAATGTACAGTGCATATATTTTATACTTATGATTTTTTCCGTTCATTAGATGGGGCCCCATATAGTCATACACACAAGGGGGCCTTACTGGCTATGGCTATATTGGCCAGTCCGACCCTGGCCGTATTAAGGGACCTAATCTCCCCCCCCAACCCCCTATAGTTGCGCTTATGTGGCCTGGGCTTTTAAAATCAGAGTATGGGGGACAGGGCTGGATTTTAATATTATGAATTGAAATATTTGTGGACACTGGATGAACAAAAGGACTACCCTCCGTCCCTCCATATCATGTTACAATAACTAATAAGTAAAAAATAAAACTAATTGAATACGTTCTAAGTTGCTCCAAAGCTCGAAATTATCCGAGTATTTTTAAAAAACATGAACCAAAAAAAAAAATCATTAAAATTGTTTTTTTAAAAAAAACCTTTCATCGGCATGTGTTGCCTACAAGTGTATCTTAAAAGTGTGAAAGATATCACTTTTTCATTTAGTAGCCCGTTCAGTAGTTATCATTATAGGCATCAAAAGTTTTAAAAAATATTAATCACTCTAATATTAAAACTAACAAAGATAAAAAAGATTACATTAAAAAATTTAATTAAGATCCGGTGAAATTGATACCTACTTGCAAGACGGGAGAATACATGCTGATAAATCATTAATTAAATATGTATTAAATCATTAATAGCTACTTATTACGTTTACAATCTACATACAATCATACTTCCAAGTTGTGATCACAGTCTTATTGTGTCAACTTTGAATCATATACTATGAATGGGTCCACATCCCGATAGTTTTGTGCACATATTGATGACAAGTCTCTGACTCTGATAGATGTGAGAAGAGAAATGTCCCATATTTATCTATGCGAATTGGTATGTATCAATAACAACGTCAGAGACTCGTTGATTGCTTATATGTGCTTCAAATTGTTTACACGAGTTAGTGTCACAGGGCTGTATCAAGAGACAATTTATGGGGAAGCAAACATAAATATGACGCCCCTAATTCAGTATACGAATTTTTTTTACAACTAAATAACCAAAAAAAAAAAATTATCGCTACGCTCTAACAAACATTATACAATACTCTTACAAAAAAAACTATATGCTTATCTACTCATTAGTTATCTACTCATGCTACACTTAGGCAGGTATTGTATTTTACAATATATTTAAACACACAAACCAGATACAATTTATACAAATTAATATATTATTACATACACAATATGTCTACGTTTCATTATTAATTTCAAACTCATGTCTCTTATATGGTATATTCTATACCTATACCTATGCATTATTGTAATGGTAAACGACTAAGGAAATAGGTATAGGACATAGGTACTATGTCTAAAATTTTAAATATTATATAACACTAACATTATCCTTACACTAACACTTCAATATGTGGTCCTATTGTATAATTTTTTCAAAATTTTTTTTTGTTTTCTAAAATGCATTTCCCTGCGGGCGCCAACACTCCCCTTCAAAATTTTTTTTAGGAGTTTGCTTTAGTTGAAATTTTTGTATAGTCTTGATAATTGATACCCTACAGGTGCCCTATGAATAATCTTTCTTGAATGGGCCTAATCATTTTGAATAATTTTTTCTGTTTAAGATTCTGGATATTTTGGTTTAAACACTTCAATATGTGGTTCTATTGTATAATTTTTTCAAAATTTTTTTTTTGTTTTCTAAAATGCATTTCCCTGCGGGCGCCAACACTCCCCTTCAAAATTTTTTTTAGGAGTTTGCTTTAGTTGAAATTTTTGTATAGTCTTGATTATTGATACCCTACAGGTGCCCTATGAATAATCTTTCTTGAATGGGCTTAATCATTTTGAATAGTTTTTTCTGTTTAAGATTCTGGATATTTTTGTTTGAACACTTCAATATGTAGTCCTATTGTATAATTTTTTCAAAATTTTTTTTTTGTTTTCTAAAATGCATTTGCCTGCGGGCGCCAACACTCCCCTTCAAAATTTTTTTTAGGAGTTTGCGCTAGTTGAAATTTTTGTATAGTCTTGATTATTGATACCCTACAGGTGCCCTATGAATAATCTTTCTTGAATGGGCTTAATCATTTTGAATAGTTTTTTCTGTTTAAGATTCTGGATATTTTAGTTTGAACACTTCAATATTTTTGATACTATTATGTAATTTTTCCTAAATTTGTTTTTAGTTTTCTAAAATGCATTTGCCTGCGGGCGCCAACTATCCCCTTAAATTTTTTCTTTAGGAATTTGACTCTAGTTGAATTTTTTCGTATAGACTTGAATATTGTTAACAAGCAGGGGCCCTCTGTATCATCATTCTTTAATGAGCTAAACATCGTCAGTTGTTTTTTTGGTTTAGGATTCTGGACATTTTAGTTTGAACTCTTTAATGTGTTTTCCTACTGTAAAATTTTGTCTAAATTTTTTTTTGGTTTTCTCAAATGCATTTGCCTGCGGGCGCCAACACTCCCCTTCAATTTTTTTTTAGGAATTTGACTAGTTGAATTTTTTGAACAAACTTTATTATTGATTATCGTCATCGTCAGTTGTTTTTCTGTTTTGGATTCTGGACATTTTATTTTGAACTCTTTAATGTATTTTCCTACTGTATAATTTTGTCTAAATTTTTTTTTGGTTTTCTAAAATGCATTTGCCTGCGGGCGCCAACACTCCCCTTCAAATTTTTTTTTAGGAGTTTGCTTTAGTTGAAATTTTTGTATAGTCTTGATTATTGATACCCTACAGGTGCCCTATGAATAATCTTTCTTGAATGGGCTTAATCATTTTGAATAGTTTTTTCTGTTTAAGATTCTGGATATTTTAGTTTGAACACTTCAATATGTGGTCCTATTGTATAATTTTTTCAAATTTTTTTTTTTATTTTTCTTAAATGCATTTGCCTGCGGGCGCCAACACTCCCCTTCAAAATTTTTTTTAGGAGTTCGCTTTTGTTGAAATTTTTGTATAGTCTTGATTATTGATACCCTACAGGTGCCCTATGAATAATCTTTCTTGTATGGGCGTAATCATTTTGAATAGTTTCTTTCTGTTTAAGATTCTGGACATTTTAGTTTGAACTCTTTAATATGTTTGATACTATTATGTAATTTTTCCTAAATTTGTTTTTAGTTTTCTAAAATGCATTTGCCTGCGGGCGCCAACTATCCCCTTCAATTTTTTTTTTAGGAATTGGTGTCTAATTGAACTTTATGGCGTAGGGAAGTGGCGCTCCCATAGCCTATAGTGCACTCAATAAGTGCACTAAAATAGCCCAACCATAACATTGAGTGGTTTTGGTAGTCTGGTCCTCCAGGTTGGGGGTTATGCGCAGGGCTAACAACCCTGCCATGTGAAGTCAACCTTGTTCAGGATATAGCAATAAACTTGCCTCGGATATGTGGAGCTATGGATAACAAGACTGGAAAACGGAAACGTGGCATATCTTTTGTAACTTGGAATATTTGCACACTTTTCAAACCTGGATTTGAAAAATGCTAAGTCAAAGAAAGCAGGAGATATAATTTATAAGTGGTAGCCTTGCAGGAGATTAGATGGAACGACAAAGGTACCCTGTATCTTCAAGACACGACTATATTCTACGGAGAATGTAATGATCGAAGACAATTTGGAACTGGTTTTGCTGTACACAAAAGTATAGTTCCTTTGGAACAGAATTTAAAAGTACTTACCCTGGGATATCAACATTGACGATTAAAAGGAAATATATTGATATCACTTTCCTGAATGGATAAGCACCTATGGAGGAAAAAGCACCAGGAGAAAAGTACGAATTTTATGAGAATGTAGAACAAATCCTAAATGAAACCCCGCGAAATAGAATAAGGATAGTCTTAGGCAATTTTAATGCTAAATTGGGAAAGGAAAACATATTCAGAGGTAATGTTCATGGTAATCATAGCATGCATTACATAACTAGTGAAAACGGACTTAGACTTATTGACTTTGTAAGTGTTGGAGGACTTGTTGTGAAAAGCACAATGTTCCCACCTCAAGACATCTACAAGAGAGCTTGGAAAGTGCCTATAATGGTAGATATACGTACTAATCAAATAGACCATGTTATGATTAACACAATTTTTAAAAACTGTATACATGATGTTAAAACAGTCAGAGGAGCTGACTGTGATTCGGACCACTACCTGGTAAAAGGAAAGCTAAATGTGAAACTTAAAAAATTGGCAGTTAAGAAATTGTGGACATATATGAAGTAAATAAATTTAAAGACAAAACTGTATGTGAATTTTTCAAGCAATGGATAGATAAAACAATGTCTAACTTACACATAAATCAATTAGATACGATTGATTGCAAATGAAAGGCAATAAAAGAAACCTTAAAAGTGGTTACAGATACGACGATAGGTAAACAAAAGAAAGAGAACAAACCTTGGTCCAACACTTCTTGTGAGGAGGCACTTAACAGAATGAAAAAACTTAGATTACAATAGATCAATGACCTTCCAATAGAAAGAAGGAATCTACTTATAAAGAACTCCAAAAAGAGTCAAATAATATATTTAGATTCGAAAAACGTAAATCCACGAAAGATATACTGTGGGAAACCGAGACCAACACAAAACTCGTGAACTGTATCAGAAGATTAACTCAATTAGGGGTAGGTACAAAAAACATGAAAGATTCTTAAAAAATGAGGATGGCTCTATAGTTACGGAACAAGACAAGATCCTAGAAAAATGGAGAGAGTATTTTGACCAACTGCTTAACGGTGAGAACATTCCTGAAACTTTCACATGGATAACATCAGACCCTAACGACATTGAATGCCCGCCTCCTAGTAGGATAGAAATAGTAAATCAATTAAATAGACTAAAAAACAATAAAACACAGGGAGAAGATGGAATTCAGGGAGAAATTCTAAAAAATCTGGATGAGGTAGCAACAAATAGAATACATGATAGCATCGAAAATATATGCTCTGAGGAACAACTCCCGAAAGACTGGGGTACATCTATAATTTGTCCTATTTATAAAAAAAGAGACCCTCAAAAATGCAGTAATTACAGAGGTATTGCTTTATTAGATACAGCTGCATATAAAGTCTTAACATATTGTTTACTAGATAGAGTAGTGCCCAAAGCTGAAAATATAGTAGGTGACTATCAGGGTGGGATTAGGCCCAATAGATCCACAACTGACTAAATGTTCATTCTAAGACAAATCATCCAAAAACGCTTGGAATTTGACAAGGATGTATGATTTATTTGTGTATTTTAGAAAAGCATACTACTCTATTCATAGAGAAAGTCTTTTAAAAATTCTCAAAAATTTCAAATTCCCCAAGAAAATTATTTATATCATTGGAATCAGTCTCAATCATACTGATATACAGGTCAAGATAGGTAACGTACATCACCGCCTACTAGAGTAACGACAGGACTTCGGAAAGGGGATGCTTTGTCTCCAGTACTACTAAACTTCATAATGTAGAACTTCAAAGACTTTTTCAGAGGCCGAATATAATTAGAGAGATTGCCAAAAGAAAACTAAGTTGGTCATGACATGCTTGGCTCAAACAGGGTACTTAAGTAAAACGGGTGATCGAAGAAGAGCCTATAGGAAAAAGACCACTAGGTGGACCTAAGTTCATTGGGAGATGGTATGAAGAGAGAAGTGGAAAGGATAGAGCCTGGTGTCAGATGGAGAGAAGTAGCGGATTACACCTGTTGAGTAGCAAATATTACAGAAGAAATAACCAACGGACGCAGACGCACATATCGTATTTGCCTGTCGAAGATGATAAGAAAAAGAAGGACCCCAACCCATTTTTGACCTTACGTTTGTCCATCGACGGTCTTGACAATGAGTCTCTCTGAGTTCTAATCACGGTTATTTACATAGGTTGGAGCACGACGTCTTATCGCTTGTCGAAGTGGCGACTGAGTGAACTAATAGCGCTAGTAGTTACACGCCCGGTATTAACACGTAATCTCTGTTTTACGCACCATGAACGTGTATGGTATAATGTATACATTGTGTATATCATAATTATTTCTCATTTGAATGACTACATCAATTCTACAAAGTAATGAATATTATTACAAATAGCATATTGAAATAGTATGTAATAATCTATCTATTTTTCTATAGACTTCTTATAAAATTCTTTAAAGACTTCTAGTGCAGGTATCTAGTATCTAGAAAAATTTGTTAAGGATATATTGAACTTTAAATAATAATACTATAATTTATATTCAAATTCATGCGATAGCTGTTGTGCTATAAAATAGTAGTATTTTTTTATTTACCATATTATATTCCATAATAGTACATTACACTTATCTTATTCACATAAGTGTTACTTATATCAACGAAATTTCTTTGAGCCTGAAAAACTAATAAATTATAATTAATATTATTATAATACATATTTTTTTTTTGCAAAATAAAAAAGCATACTACAGCACTTCTATAATTTAAGTTTAATATTTTGTCTTATAAAATTAAAAAGCATATAATTAATACAATCAACTTCTATTGCACTTATATAAACATTATTATTAATATACATTTTATAATTATATGAAATAAATAAAAAGTAATCAATGACTTAAGATTAAATATACTGAAAGCATTAAAAAAAAATTGAATATAATGGTCATGAGTTGTACAATTTTGATATTTTTTTCTTCTCCCTGGACATTTTTTGACATTTTAGATTTTCTTGATATGAATGTTGAAGTTGATGCATTCTCATTTGTAAAAAATAAACTATAACTTCAGATGCTACTTCAACTCTGTGAGAAATGCAGCTGAATTTAAAATTAAAATTATTTTAAGTGACTTCATTTATTACATTTTCAAATACATTGAAGTCATTACAATATTTTCCAAAGCGTGTTCTACAATGGTTAAAAATTCAAATAAAGCAGCGTTTGGGTACATAATAAGGAGCTCATTTTTTCTTTTGCAAATGGGAGCAACTCTCTATTTAAATAGAGGTCTTAACGTCGATACAAAAAAAATTCAGAAAATGTTATTTTTTACTTACATAGGTGAGGGCGACATACCTGTTAAAGGCTTTTTTACAACAAATTTAACTTATTATATTTTTTGATTGAAGGATTTAAGATCGAACTTCAAAATTAATACAGATAGTTTAAACCATCATTTCTGTTACTTAGATTATTAATTAGAATAGTTTTCCATTTGTTTTTAAGTTCACTAGTTCAGCACAGGATGTTCATTATCACCAGCTTTAAAAAAGCATATGCATTCATCACAGTTTTGTATTTTTTTTTAAATTTGTTTTGTCAAATACCCACACACGTAATAAAGAATACAATCTCTAGTGCTATAATCCATTGTGGAATCAACTTTAGTTAGCACATCACAAAGTTCCCATTGGCCCTCTTCAATCAGTTCATCCAATTTTGTTTTAAGTGTGTTCATTTTTTCAAACATTTCAGATGATGTATCATGGAAAATTTCTTTTAGATCTGATAATGAAATTTTAGGAGCATCAATGTTAGTAGTAGTACAATTACCATGTTTTGGGGGTTTAAGAAAGGAATATACTTATAGAATTTTATACAAATGGATAAAAGTTGGGGTCGTAGGATGATCATTTGGTCCACATGACTCCAAAAAATTTCTGATACAAAATAATAGGATAAAATATGAAATCATTATAGATGGAGATTTTATAGGTATTATCATCGATTAAATTATAATATTATTACTTCAAGTGGGTCTTGACTCTTGGCACATTTTACCAGTTAAGACATATTCGTAGCCACATGATTCCAACAAATATTTTGAAAGATGAATCGTTGAACTTATTGTAACTCTAAGCCCTTCAACTGTTGATTTTGTTAAAAATTCTTTAGGAAAAATATTACCAGCAACCATCTCATCTTCCCAGCAATCAATGTAATGCAGTGCTTTTAAAAACCCCTATGTTAACAAATATATTAATATAATAAGTTAAATATTTAAAACAATTATAATACAATTATAGTTAATTTAATTATTATTTCTTTACTTGAAATCCTTATTCTGTTCAGTTATAGGTAATTTTTTCCATGGACTGAATAATTAGAAGTCCACTAATTCATGGTACAAATTGTCTATAACATAAAATTAATAAATATTAATAACTAGAACTAATAAGCGTAAAATTATAGCATGTGACATAAAAATTAATTATGCAAAAAAAAATATAGGCCAAAAATGTATTGATTATTCAGGACCTAAAATATCAACTCTCTAAATTTAAATGTAAAAAAATACTTAAAAACTAATACTAAAATTAATGTAAATAGATATAAAAGTCAATCAGTATTATGTGATCTCTAAAATATTTTTAAACTATTTATAATTTATAATATATTTATATTTTTTTATGATTATAAATGTATATCTATGTATTCATAATTAGCCATAGTTCTGTTCTTATATTTTTTTTCTCTTTGTTTTTGCTGTTATATTTGTTTATTATTGTATATCAGATGTAAATAATATTATTAAAATTAACTGAATCCCCATAATACCTCTCCACCTCTAACTCAAGCTTTGCTTATAGGAGGTAGATGAACCATAATAATATGTATAATTGTATGACTATAGAAAGTAATAAATGGTTATTTTAAATAAAAAAAGAACCTTGATATATATTAGTTAACAGTAATTATAACTAATTAAATAATTATAAATAATTTTGCACTAAATAAAATACCTCCTTCTATAAAATTAATTTCCTGAATTTGTAAAAATATAATTTATTATTAATAGGTATTTATTCTCCTTGGTAGGTTTACCTTCAATGATAGATAAATTTGCAGGAGTTTCACATCCAGAATTAACATAATCATTATCATTTTTTGAAATTTGGACAGTAGGAAGCTTCCCGGTGTTTTTTTTTGTAGACAAATATAAGCAGGACCAGGAAACTGTGAAGGAATGACTCCTTCTTTAAGTCTCCATCTTTTATATAGTATCTAAAATTGAATTAATTTGAGAATATAAATAATATAAATTATTATTATTATTATTATTTACCTTTATTGGGCCAGATATCCAAAATTTTATTATATCACCTTCGTTAAAATGTTTTTCACAAACATGAGAATTGTTATTTAAAACAAAATTTTGTCTGGGTATACATTTCTGCCATTTTTCTCTCAACTGAGGATCTTTAGGAACACTGAATAGGTGTAGTTTTTCGGGATTACTCTTGTAACCGAAGTACAACC